AAAAATATTTTCTAGTAAAGTGTTTTTAATAAACTAAAAAAAAGATTTGTCCTTGAATATATCGAGTATTTGTTTTGAATTGTCCGTGTGCAAAGTGATTTTCATGTTAAGGCTAAAATACTTTTCTTCACCTCAAAAATCTCAAATTTCATTTGTGTAATCTCTAAAGCCTCCTAAATACATTTCAAATGTTTGTTTTCAGTAAAACTTTATATTTTATCTGTTATTTTCTCTACACTAACTCTATACAAGGTTGGTTAATTTGATTGACCTTCGTAACCACCGAAAAAAAAATCAAAATAAATCTATATTAACCTTTTTTTCTTTTTAGAATGACTTCAAATTGTAAGATGAAACTAAATTCATTCATCGTAAGTAACTTTAAATTCATAACAGTATACACCTAATTATAATTAAATTTTATCATTTGAACCATGTCTAACAGCTATTCGCACCATTATAAGTTGTAAATCACTTGCAGAACGTGCAGCTCACCTTACGATATTGAATTACATTACCCACTAACTACTCCGAGCTGCTCGCATGTGTGCCCCATGAAATCTAACCTTAACTAACCTAAAGAGATCACTATTTTTACATTTTAGTTAATTTTATAATAACAAGAAATAAAGTACTTTCCCGTGTCTTCTTATTTTTGCTGTCAACTGTCAGTGACACTTAAACCTACTTTTTATAGTAATGGTAGTAATGCATAAAATAATTTGTATTTGATTAATGTTTTCATGATGAGCTCGGTATAGAATACATGAATTTGTATACATGTTTACACACTTTTAATGCAGTATGTGTATCTTCACAAAATTTGGTAGACTTTTAGTAAACATTACAAGTCTTTTGTACACAAAAAATCAGATTTTTAATGAAGTAATTTTATTAAAGGTTTGTTTGAGAATATATCAAGTCTGTTTCATTAGTAGTCTGAGTGCAAAGTGATTTTCATGTTATAATTAAAAAAATTACTCATCCCTAAAATCTCAAGTATCATTTGTGTAATCTCTACAACTTCCTAAATACATTTCAAGTGTTTGTTTTCAATAAAACTTTATATTTTATCTGTTATTTTCTCTACCCTAACTCTGTATGTATGGGGTCTGTCAGTTTAATCGACCTCGTAACCACCATAAAAAATTAGGAAATAAATATAAATTATGCCTTTTTCATTCTATAATGACTACAAATTATAACATGAAAACATTAATGTTTAGTCTGAATAGTTTAAATCTCATAACATTATACATATATATATATATATATATATA